TCTCAATGTCACCGTATTCAAGCGAGTTTCGGATCCGGCGAATGATCAATCTGGAGTGATAAGAAGAAGAGGGAATAGAAGGACAGGAAGAAGAAGCATGAAAGAAGTCGCCGGAAAACAATCAACCACGAGGTGAAGCTTCTGAACTCTTGTCATCACTTGATATAAAAAATAGACTTCGGAAATTGATACCTTGACTTCCTATAATGGCAAGACGGACCTCAAATGAGGCGATTGAAAACGTCAAAAACGCCGGCAACGGAATAGCCGTGAGCAAAGCCGGATACACCGGACGGCGAGATGGGATGGCGAGATGGGATGGCGAGATGGGACGACAAAACCGGACCACGTCCGGATCCATAAGCCGGCAAGGCAAGCCGGACGGCCAAAACCACCGATCAAAATCTCTCTCTCTAAAAGGTTTAGAGAGATAAGAGAGGGGGTTAATTGTTTCGTGACTAGAAAAAGTTGCAAACGAAGAAGACAGAGTAATGACGTCAAAAACCAAGGGTAGAAGCGTCTTCTCACATAGATAGAGTGCCTAAATCCGAAAGGCATTTGGGAAAATGCCCAAATCCGAAAGTCATTCTAAGATTAATGCCTTTTTTTTAAATAACTTCTTAAAAAAATGAAAAATATTACATATCTCTCTATCTCTCTTTATCTCTTTCTCTTTCTTTCTTTTCTCTTTCTTTATTTATAATAATAAATAATTTTTCACATCCATACTAACATATATGCCATTGTGGATGCCCTTAGATACTTCGTACTTACGACGACTTAAGAGTGAATAGCTTAAATTTCTCACAAGTATAGCGACCTCCACAATATTTGGATAACATATCCATGGTTATAATTCATTTTGTAACTAAGCAAAACAACTTCATTAAAATACTTGTGGATTGAAAAAAATGTTATTGTCACACATGTCAAGTTTTTTTTACTTGTACTGTTTATCACTCGTATACTCGTTGTAATATAAAACGTAAACTATGTTGGAATAATCGTTAACTTGTGAAATTTTATAAAATTATCTTAACAACTTATTATAGTTTTTCGATTTCGCAAACACGCCCAAAACCAATCTAAATTCTAAACATATTATCACTTCAAATATGGTTACTTTTTATAGTTTATCACACATGGCAACTTATTAATGTTAATAAAAATAAAAATTAACGAATGTATAAAGTTATGCCAACGAGCCCTAACTAGGGTTG